TATGGGAATAAAATAAAAACAAAGTTGCTGGTATTTAATGGTCAAAAGGCCAAAGCTTATAACCAGAAATCTACAAGGACAATAGGGGAACGCCATGAGTAGATTCGTACGGGTCCGTGTATGTGTAGAAACCGTCTCCCCCTCTCCGGCCCCCTCCCCCCGTTCTTCCCCTCTACAAACACAACCGTGCTATATAGCAGGAGGGGTTCACGTCCAAGACTGTGATCTAACTCAGGGTAGGATCAGTGAATTTCAGCAAAGATTGAAGTGATTTTGACCAGAAGACAGTGCAGCTGTATTCAAACGACATTCTACATTTGTAGAAACGTAGTACAAGTCAGAGCTCTGCAAATGCTTTCACAATGGCCCTCATCGTACTTTCCAAGGAAAAGGGAGAATTTCTATGAACCATATTTCCTTCCAAAGAGGGGATGAGGACTTTCTCTGAATTTCTACGGGATTTCTTATTTTGTTACAGGGGAAAACAGATTTTTTAATTCCTACAGCTGTCTCTCCTCCTCCCCGAAGAGGACGCAAAATGAAATATGCAGTCTTATTAGTATGTCATTTTTACACTAGTCCTTTGGAAATCTCCAATTACAACTTCCAATTCCATAGCATGTTTAAGGAGCACTGAGTCTTTTTGTTGTAGCCTTCAGGGAGCAAACCAGCCACTGAGAGAATACGAAATTAATCCACTACAGCTATAGAGAGAGAGGATTATGTTTTAATCCCCTTTGGGATAGTCGCTGGATTTTAAGGATCCGATATTAAAATGTTTACACAAGGCATAATCAAAATACTGCAGATTTTCCATATGGTGCCCAGTTATCTGGAAGCTCAGAGTTCTTTTCCACAGCACAGCCGACCATCTAGGGAAACAATAGCGCAACACACCTAACGCCAGAGTTTGATGGGCTCTTTCGTTTTTGGAAAAATACAGCTACAGCTGCCAATCAAACCCAGTAAACCTTGGTATTGGAGAACGGCGCTTTTGGTTTGGAAGCGAATATTCATTTCAAGCACAGTCACAGTAATAAAAAACATGCACAGGAATGAGCTCTCCCAGCACACACCAGTATGATATGTGGGGCATTAGGAATCAGTTACAAAAATGAATCTGCTCCTAATGCAGGTTAAATTGCAACTAAAAAGACAAAGCTCGCAAAGTCTGCAAAGAGAGGAAGTGTTCTCCTGCACTAATTTCACGATACAATTTGGGGTTTGTTTATGGGTTTAAGGTTACCACACCCTGTTATCTCTAGAAAAGCAGACCCCCCCCCCCCCCCCAACCGTTTGTCAGGAATCTGGATGCTTTAAAAGAAATTCTTTTCAAGCATAATTTAGTGAACGTTTTGAAGTGGGGGAGGGGAAAAGGGAGCAGCTGAACAGACGCAACACAAGGTACAGGTACAGTTAAGAACTCACTTTAGAGCCACAGCTTTTATAATTAGCTCACATGCAAGATTTTCCATCTTGTGTGTCACCTGTAGACTGGAAGCCAGATGTGATTTACATTTCTAAAACAACTGATGAAGGGAATATACATTTTAAAAAGTAATATTTGTTTTTTTTCAAAAGTAAATACTTGTGGGATTGGGCAGTTCCACTAAAAACACAGAAATCATTATCTGTTTTTCCTCTTTGTTAACATCTTGATATACAAGGAATTGGTTTCTTGTATTATAAGGCTAGCAAACAAGGTCAATGCAAATTAAAAGTTTTATGACCTGAAAGCTTGCAATTGACAAAAACAACATTGATAAAATTACTCCTCTGGAATATGGCCTTTTATGAAAGCTCAACAAATATAACATTCTGAAATATTATCTTAAAGATTTCAACTCTCTCAAAAGTGCTTTTAGGTGGTTGTATTTAATGGTAAGAGCTAAATAGAAGTTGGTGTTTAAACTGCAGGTGTATTTGCTAAAATGAGTGTCCAATAATTCCTAAGTGGAAATATGTTTTAGTGCACCTGTTGAATTATGAAAAAAAATATTTGTATAGCTGGTACAGGTTTATAATATTAACCTGAGCAAGAACATTTGAGAGGTAACAACAGAAGATAAAGGAAATGTATTTTGTATATGGGTAGTTTAAATGGAAAAACCTAGTTTTGTATAATTTCAAAAAGCACACCTTAGTATTCAATCTGTACCACTTTAATTTGATGACTTGTTGTCCTACAGATATGGTATATAATAAAAACAGTGTTGGTATCAACAACAGAGATGGATTTTATACATATTAATTAGATTTTGCTATTTTAAAATAAATTCAACTTTTAAAAAATAATTGTGTTCAGTTGAAAGATGGCATGAAAAACCATCTTTTATCTTAACTAGAACAGTCTATTATGCTGTTCATCATTTAATTTTTAAAAATCTAAATGTGCACTTGCTATAAACCTCAAATGTATTAATTTTTGAAATACAAATAATAATTTATGCTTTAACTCAAGTGCAAATAGAGCAAATTAACAATATCACAATTTAAAAATTCTAAAACAAGACTATCTGAAATGTTTCCATACTTTGAAACAAGTGGTTAAAAAGTTTCAATTAATATTTTAAATTTAAAAGATTATATAGATAGGTTTGATTTTTTTTATTATCACAGAATGAAGATAGAACTAGCTTTAGGCCCCAGATAAAAAGAACAAGGGAAAAGGATTTAAAGGCAAGGGAACCCAAAATAACGATAAAGAT